TTTCGCAACTCTGTCAAGGCCAACACCGCCTTTCTAGAAAAAGGCACATTTGTACTGATGTGGAAGTGAGAGTTTTTTTCATTTTAAGCAAAATCTCATACATACGAAGCAACTCGGTCAAAACAAGCTCATAAGTCTCATCGCATTTGAATATTTTCTGACCGAATCAGGTTTATATCGCAAAGCAAAAAATCCTTCTACGCATTATTGGCGTTTTGCAGTGCATAGACAGATCAGTGAAATCCTTCTAGCTCATGAACCGGTCCACAACTGTCGACCAAAATGTCCAATCAAAAATGAATGATTTTGAGCGGAAAAAAGCACTAAGTTTAGTAGAAGTAATATTCAGCTGTTTACAGCCCTTTATTCTTTTGACTAATCCGGAAATGCTGAAAAAAACGCGCTGGAGAATCACATTTAATTTTCGGAACCGCGAGTCTCATGTTTACATTACCCAAAGTGCGAATTGCCTGGGAAAATGATTTTGCTCAGTTTTTGTCTGGGTAGGTTGCCGGTGTAAATTTCGGTAAAACTGGCACATTTGCACCAAAATACATGTGTGTGTTTTGCTACTTATTTCACCTCAGTAGGTCAAATTAAATAGGTAAACCAGTCTGATATCCAGAGGTAAGGGACTGGCAAAACATCGGGATATGGGTAGCGAGCACAGTCATTAGCTCACAGTTTTTCGCTCATGAGCCTGATTCTTGTGCAAGACTACTACGCCCCTTCCGTCGACTGTCGAGGCATCGTTAACTTATCTGTTATAACTTTGTCGCACTCACTGTCCTTGCTCGAGTATCTGGAAAGACAGTTTCCGAATTTTACGATCGCCTTATCTATCGAAATAAGACAGGTTCTTTAAGCTTTTACCTATTCTGTATGTCCCCATAGACTGTTTTGTCCACACAAAGCGATTTACGCCGTATTTTCAACCCGACCCAATCAGGAAACCTCGTCGTCGATTAAAATGGTCTATCTTGTCTTTATCGGTAATAACATACTAAAATGGTCTTCTTTAACGAAGACCTGAATTTAGCAAAAGAACAAAAAGTGTACTTCAGTCAGTCTCCTACTTAAAATCTGTTCCGCTATAGTAATTCGTCGATGCAAAATCCCATTTCTTTTCTTCTTTTACAAGGCAAGAGTGAAGATTGAAGTATTTGTCCTGTGTATGCACCTACCTGACTGATGCTGATGAATGTTGTATAGCAAGACAAGAACATCCTTGACTCATTTATTTGAGGGCCGTTTTCAATAAATTTGCTTATTTATGACTGATGTTACCTTATTAGAAGTATACTTTAGACTGACCTAGTGAATATGTAAATGCCTCTCAGGAAACCAACGTAATCGCCTCCCCGTTCAGCCAGACCGCACAAAAAATGTTGTATCCAGCTGGTCAACGCTTGGAATTCTCCACACCCTCCTCGCAAGTGCTTCCACATTTTGCCCTTGTTGACATTCCCCTTCTCCCTTTTCGTAACCCTCTTTCGAGCTTGATCGGCGTTCTTTTAGGGAATTAGTTTTTGTATCCTGACATTGAGCTGTGAATTCGATTTGCTCGAACAGTAACAAAGGAATTCTTTGTATAGGGTATCCATTGTTGAGGTATGTACGTTTTTTATTATTATTTTATTCTACCAATAATATCGTATATACAGTGAAATCTGTCTTGGCTCATACGCGTGACTCAGTTTACCAAGAATTCTACAAAGGACGTCTTATTATAAACGTGGAAGTTAATGGAGTTGTCGCTGTTGTTTAGGGAAAAAAGACGCGGCCAGGCAAATCAGCAGTTTCGAAACCGAAGACATGTCTGTTGTTTTGCAGATCACTTGCTTATTTCCTCATAAAACTACCCAGACCGAAAAATCTGCTTTCAAGTTCGCAAAGGCTGTCTCCATAGAGGCTCTCACGCAAGGATACAGCTGGGGGTCGAAGATAGCTACTAGCATCAGAAATCGCCTGGATGGAAGAGTACGTTAATTTTTGCCCGAAAATGGTCTGACAAAATAACTGAGAACCGCACCTCCTCTAGAAGAAGACTCTCTACACAACGCGGTAACTTGTGAAGTCAGAAGTACGGTGCCTGATGCATGCCTCCTATTTCAACAGTTTTATCCCCTGTTGTATGTCGCGGATAAGGCCCTGGTAGTTGACTTCTTAAGATATTTTGTATCCATATAGAATTCTATGTGGCGTAAGCTAGCGGGTATTCCGATAACGAGGTCCTAACATGCACATATCGTACTGCCGCCCTTATGACTGCCGTTCGCGCTGTTGATGCCCCGCGAGCCGGAAACTTCTTGCCTGCCTCAGCGAACCTTTTGGAAATGCGCAGTAGGGCCCTTTGGACAGGGTCTGCAGAGCAGGGTCCCCCAGAAACGACCATCCACTCATTGTCCGCTCCGCACAGAAACCTGATTTGCGGTGGTAGTAGTAGTAGTAGTAGTAGTAGTAGTAGTAGTAGTAGTAGTAGTAGTAATAGTACTAGTAGTAGTAGTAGTAGTAGTAGTAGTAGTAGTAGTAGTAGTAGTAGTAGTAGTAGTAGTAGTAGTAGTAGTAGTAGTAGTAGTAGTAGTAGTAGTAGTAGTAGTAGTAGTAGTAGTAGTAGTAGTAGTAGTAGTAGTAGTAGTAGTAGTAATAGTAGTAGCAGCAGCAGCAGCAGCAGCAGTAGTAGTAGTTCGTTCCTAGCGTACAAGACCATCCAGGTTTAATCTTTGCGCGGAATCTCATCCTGAAGCGGATTGCACAACGGTCTTCAATCAAAGCTGCACTCTGCTTCGCTCACGAATAAAGGTGTCTATTGCTGTATACCGCTTATAAAGTTGCTTTCTTCATGGCCTTACCAGTGCTCTGTCTTGGTAAATAAACTCTGGAAACGTCACGAAATTGGATCTGGTCGAATGGAACTGCTGCCTCTTCACCGAATAACCACAGATAGCTGCCCCCGGGACCCGAATACACGGTACACAGGGAAATAACGTGAATTTTGGGTCACTTAGCTGTTACGCGAGCATTTGTCACCATGGTTACCAAGGTTGGTCACCACGGAGATTGAACGCCCGGAGGTGATCCACGTTTGTATTCTCACTTTTTGCCTACGGAAACATGCCCAATAGTGGTCTAGCGGACTTGTAGCGGTCCTACTCCGGGCGATTGTCTCAACGCTGGGCCTCTCGCGAGTGTCTGCGCGTGCGCACCAGGGCTGTCTGACATCTACCCACTCGGCCTTCCGACTGACCAATCAGATTCAAGGCTGACTCAGAGGTGGCCTTTCGCAAGACGCTTTGACGCATTCCCTGACTCAGACACTTGGGACGTCGCTTTCGCGGTGCCAGATGTGCGCTCGTCCGGCTGCCAACTCTCTCCAACTCCTTCACCAGCTAATTCTGTATAGAATACATCCTCTCCCCCTGGAATCCACCTCTTTTCATTCGGGACCGGGCCTGAAAGTTGTGATAGTCAGGGTCTCGCTTGCGGCCTAGCCTATCCGCGACAGACTCCGGCTGCACCTAACTCCGAGTCCGGTCTCGTTTTCGTGATCGAGCCCCCTTTCCCCCCTAACTCAGAGTAAACCTTTAGCTTGGGGAAGCGCGTGGGCATGCCCCTCTATGTTTACACCAGTTTCCGTCTAGTGTCCTCAGACTGGACATAACGCAGGCGTCTGTTCATGTTTTGTTCAATAAAATTCCCTTCCATCTATTTGTAACTTCTAATAATAATAATAAAAACAATAATAATAATAATAGGAGTTCGGTCATACCTGGGCCATGATGTACATGTACAGTGAGTGATCGATCTCATGGAATGTTGGCGGAGATTATGAAATGCGTTTTCGGTTAGGAAGGAGTACTGATTATCTTGCGGCATAATTCTATGATATTTCGGACTCGGCAGAATGTCAGCTTTTGAATACACTGCTTTTCCAACTCCTGTAGAAACCGTACTCGATAAAAAATGTCTGCTTAAGTAGCATGCATTTCCCCATTAATTGTCAATGGTCTCGCAGATTCAAATATATTTTATAGAAACTCCGGACAAAAGTATGCTTTCTTTCAGCCATTTGATAGCGAATCACGTCATCTTTCTATTTTATACTCGAAGAAGGAGTATAAAGAAGGTTTCTAAGGTAACAATCCGGAGATGGCACCCAAAAAAATCTGTTACCTAGAAATAATACCTTTAACAGTGGACTCAAACGCCTTCAGGCTATATCAGCGGTTGCAGGCCTACTTTCACGCACTACTTGGACTTTCCGCGACGGCCTAGCATGGGCTGGCCGAACGAACATCACAGGAGGTTACATGGACGATGGTTGCTGTTACCCAATCTCCCCCATCGTTACACACGTACACCTGAATATACGGCATACATTCGCATTATGGCAGTTTATTACAAAACAAAACCACTTTAAAATAGGACAAATCTGCACAACATGGGACAGGAACAGTTCCCAGGCATCTGTCAAAGACATGGCATTGAGGCAAAACCAAAGAAGATACTGTACTTCGTCTATGTGAGCCCACACAGCTCGATCACATACAGGGCCTCCCTCATAGTTTCCTTTTCAGTCTACTCCAGTATGCCTCAATGACATTGGTGTGCTGGCCGGTGGTAGGGTCCTTGAGGTTCTTTGAGTGGTTAACAGATAAATGTAGATAACCTTCTGAGGGAAGACGATTATACGCCTTCCACTCGTCCGTTACCACTATACTGCCTTTGGCGACCCATTTTGTAATAACGGAACGGAGAGCGGGCCAAGTTCGATCGTTCACCTGTTCAAATAAGGCTTTCCGTCGGCTAGTATCGTACATCCCGACCAGCCACAACCCATAAAACCCCTATTACCACCTGTCCGTAAGACAAGCTGCTTTGGTTAGGTGGATTTTTTGGGTGCCATCTCGCGATTGTTACCGTTTCTAATTATGAGACTTCTTAAGACTTCGCAATGTACATTCATATAGCATCGTACCTGTCCGTTTACCACCGCTCCTCATGAAATGTACAACATCGTGATAGGGGCGCTAACCGATCGTTCTAACGGGACTCACTCCTTCCGTTGTGCCTTACGGGCTCTCTCTCGAGCCCAACCAGCAGCCGCACAGCGGCGCTTGATATAGGCAAAATTACGACGGCTAATAAGCCGGAAATTGCCATTCCAGTCTCCCTTGTCTTTGTCGGTAATGCCATGTACGACATAATCCGCATCCATTGCAAAATTTTATGAACTCCATAGGATGCCTTTTTAAAGGCATAGAAGAATATGTGATTTTCTTGTGTAGACTGAAATCACGAAGCGCTAATGCAACGACTGATTAAGCTCCAAATTATTCGGCAATTAGAAAACTTTTTAAAACCCAACTACACTCCTTCTTCGAGTATAAAATATAAAGAGGACGTGATTCTCTATCAAATGACTGAAAGAGAGCATGATTTTGTCCGGGGTTTCTATAAATTATAGTTGAATCTGCAAGACCATTGGGAATTAATGGGGAAATGCATGCTACTTAAGCAGTCATTTTTTACCGAGTATGGTTTCTACAGGAGTTTTGAAAGCAGTGTTTTCAAAAGCTGCCATTCTGCCCAGTCCGAAATACTATAGGATTATGCCGCAAGATAGTCGGTAATCCTTCCTAATCGAAAACGCATTTCAGAATTTCAGCCAACATTTCATGACGTCGGTCACTCACTGCATGTCTGCATTACTGGTCGCCTTGAAGCTGCTTGTGACGGCCGTAGATCAAACCCCACGACACCAGGGAGTGAGCATCTTCCAAAACCTGACTGACGAACAACCCTCCCACAAAACACATATAGATGAGGTTGATAATAAACCAAATGGTTATTGGAAATGCGGCAAGTAAGCCATATACACAGAGAGAGAGACAGAGAGAAGAGAGAACACACTTTCAATGATACCTGAAAGGACCAAGTCAGTGTTGAAGAAGACGAGAATAAATGACTCGAAATGCAAAGGCAAAATGCCACACCTTCAACGGTGCCAAAGTATTTACTAAACTGAGTCCACCGCCGGCGCGATGGCGAGGCCAGTGCCGGCCACGAGATCAGCCCTCATCGTTTCGTAACGGATCCTGGCTTGGCTTCGCTCCAACAGAAGCATGTCCGAGGTACTCATCTCCACCTCGATACCACTGAGACGCTTGAATATGGTGGCAGCCAGCCGTGCCGTGTATATCTTGGAGGTTGCGCATTGATTCAGGAGGCTCTTGAAGCCGAGGTAGTGTCCGTAGTGCTCGTCGAAGTTGACCTCGATGGTCCGATAGTTGTTGGGACAGTAGCCGCATCGCGGATCCGTCGGCGGTAGGAGAATGACTCGACAGTGACAGAACTTTTCAATCTTTATCAGGCGCCGACTCTTCGCGTAGGAGGCGATGACCGGATCAAAATCAAAAGGCACATAGTAGACCTGCCTGATCACTCTTCCAGTTTGTAATCGCTAAAAGACAAAAAGACCAAGAAGACGGCTAGTCAAGTACAAAATAACAAGCGGAGGTAGTAAACGCTAGCAGTCAAAAGCACCGACTCGGACATCGCAATCATCGCCGTTCCTCCTACCTTGGGGAACAGCTCTGAACTGCGCAGTAGTCAGATGACAGTAAAGGAGATAGCATCGCCATCATCTTTTATCTTCCTTCCCTCGCACCTACCTTTTTCCAGTGACAGTGCATGTTACTCTTAAATATCAATTGTCATATTGTGTTCACTTACCCTTCTGAAATCTTTCCCTTTTAGACCCACCTACAACAAGCGAGGATCCATCGGCCAAACATGGAGACCAACAGCCTTAAGGCTTTACTTAATTCCAACAATCATCAGATGCGATGTATTGTTTTTTACGAATATAGTACTTTTTATCTTGATGTGTGCCCCTTTGATTACTTTAATGGGCGATATTGGGGGAAATAAAAGGCGATGTGACAGTAAAATTGAGGGAGACCCCTGGGTGAGTAAGCGCTGCAGCTGGTTTTTTGGAGCTCGGGTCATGCTCTGAACGAGCTTGCAAGCTCCAATAGTGGTCGCGTACCTCGTGAAACGAGTTCTTTGCGAGCTCGTTCAGAGCTCATTTTGCTATTAGGGATGTTCATGCTGTCCTTCGCTGTTTTGGGAACAAAGCGAGTTTACATGGATTTTTAGTCAGTGCCCGGACGGTCGGGCGGCCTATTTCGCGCCGTTAAATTCTCCTTTGGATCGAAATGTTACGCCCATGGCGAAAATTTTTTCCCACACTTTATTCTTCCCACCAGCTCCGGCAAAATTGGCACGTTTCCACGGTCATCACTTGTTAAATTATTGATCGCATACCGGCAACATTGCCTGTCTGGAAAAAGCCTCTATGTTGGCATGGGAAGCGTGCTCTCCAGTTCCTTCTTCGTTTGACCCCTATGTGACTCTAACACAACCCACCCCGTTTGTGCGCGCATGTGATGGAGCCGGATAGCGTGTGGGGCGCATAGGCGGTCTATCTAATTCTCTCTGTCACTGCCCCCAATCTCTGCATCAGATGACTGACCGGCTCGGACAATCGACTGCTGTCTGGGAGCGGGAAGAGAGAGTGAGAGGTCGACTCTCAGCGCATACTCCTCGCCTTAAACGATCTGGTGTACCTGAATGTACAGTAGGTGGGTTAACTCATGAAATGTCAACCGAAATTCTGAAATGCGATTTTGTTTCGAAAAGATTAATTAAGTAGAGTTGTAAAACTAATCATCTTGCTGCATAATTCTATAATAATTTGGTTACCTCAGAATGCCGGCTTTCGAAAGAACCTCTTTCCGGTCGCATGCAAAAACTAGACTGTAAAAAATGACTACTTAAGTAGCATGAATTTTCCTTTTTGGTTTCTGGTGCTCTTAAAGTCCATTTATATTTCTTAGAAAACATGCATAAAATACGCATTCTTCTACTCATTTGGTAGAAAATTACTTCTTCCAGTTTTATACTCGAAGGGTATAATTCGGTTTTAAAAAAGCTTCTTATTGTGGATTTTTTACTACCGCGAAGTGACCCTCCATAAAGTATCATGTCTCTGCACTTAGTAATGTGGCTTCTTAAGTTTAAAACATGACTCAAATCTACTGCTACATTTTATGAACATCTATACTATCTCCTCTTTATACGGTAGAGATATGTATGGTTCCTCGTACGCGGAAAATATACGGCTTGTAGTTTGTAAACCCTGAATGCCAGTGTAACGGGAGGTCGTTTTCGAAATTATTCGGAAATTTGAAAGGTTTTTGAAAACCGAATTATACCTTTTCTTCAAGCACAAAACTAGAAAAAAAAGTAATTTTCTACCAACTGAGTAAAATAATGAATATTTTTATGCATTTTTGCTACGAAATATAATTGCATTTTTAGGGGCACCGGAAATAAATGGGGAAGATGCATGCTACGTAAGTAGCCATTTTCTACAGAGTCTGGTTTTTGCGTGCGGTCGGAATGAATTTCATTCGGAAGCCGGCATCCCGAGGTAATTGAACTATTTTAGAATCACGCTGCACAATGATTATTTTCACAGTCTTATGAAGTAATATTTTCGAAACAAAAACGTATTTCAGAATTTCGGTTAACATTTCATGATTTAGCACACCTATCGTACTTCCTGTTTACCCTGTGTTTGCCAAACTGACTTTAACAAACTCTTACTCGTTTGGACGATTTTCACATGCTCGGAAACCACTGCAACCCGACCATCTGCGCCTCTGTTGGTAGCCTTTCAAGTTACAAGTTAGAGCGAGTCAAATTTTTTATCATAGTAATAAAGTCAGGTTCTGGATCTAGCCGCGTCAACTGTCTTGATATGATATTACGATGAGTGTGGAAAAGGCGTACTAAGTATATTCCGCGCTGATTTATCCAACCATAAGAAGACTCACTCGTAAGTAGCCAACGACAATCCAACCAACGCAAACCACGACGTCCACCGCTGCCGCAAGGGATAGTTCAAGCAGCGGAAGCTTATGCGTAAACTTATGTGTAGTTAGGCAGACTTGCACTCAGCATCTACAAAACAAAAGTTAACACGACCGGAGGCGCAGTCTTTTATGAGGCAAAACAGTCCGTTTACGCGTGCCACACACAACCCGGTCTCAGCTACGTGTGACTGTTCGACCGTGGTTCCCGACTATGTCCCCCGTGTGTTGGACGCAGGGGAAGGTGACTTGCCCGTGAATTAATTTGCATTGACCTGTCGCACTCTCCCCACGTCACTCATCTGGGTCCGGTGTCAAGACAGAATCAAGAAGACTGGAGGCTGGGAAGGACGCAGGTGACCTGTGCGGCGCGAGCCCGCGCCTAGATGTGCTACTACACCCCTGGTGCACAGTGCACACTGTCCAGGATTTTGCACTACAAAAAGAACACGAAGACCCGGATCCCAAGGAAGTGGGAGTGCCATAATGGCCTGACTCAGTCGTCCCGCCAGTTGGCAGCCCTTCAATCCACGACTTTTTCTACTTTTAGTGGCCCTAACCCGAGTGCCCGTCTCAACGTTGGGCCCCTCGCGAGTGTCTACACGTGAACATCAGGGTTGTCTGGCGTTCGCCTACTCGGCTTTCCAACCGGCCAATCAGATTCAGGGTTGATTGAGACGTGCGCTGGCTTAAGACGCTTTGACGCATTGCCCGACACACGCACACACACTTGGGCTGCCGCTCTCCCGGAGATGGGGGCAGTTTCCTCTGGCTGCCAACTCCTTTCAGTCCCTCCTCCAGTTGTTCTGTACAGAATATACAATTCTCCCAGCTGGTGTCCATCTTATCTTTCGGTTGGGGACCGGACCTGAAGGTCGTGGTAGCCGGAGTTCCACCCACGGCCTAGGCTTCTGCGATACACCAGTTGGATGTCTGAGCCTCTCCGCCAACTGGAGGCTGGAAGAACCAGACAACCCGTCTGCGTTTGCCACACACGTCTACGTGGTTCGGATATACCAAAAAACTAGCCTCCCACTTGCGCGATACGTACACATTCTGACCGGCAGCGTTTCGTCCGCCATAAAATTGCTTGAAAAGGGAATCGGGTGATCGCTGTAGGAGTGATGCACACAGGCATGTAATCGAGTGGGTTTATGTGTTGTCTAGGGGTGCGTGTGTGTGCGCAGGTTGCGCGATGTGTAGCGGCAGTCCCAGGTGCATACGTACGTCGCACCAATTGCGATCCGAGCCGCCACATTATTTTTTCTCGTGTAAAGTCCTAGTCAGCGTACATTGTAGACCAGGGCAAGTGCTGGTACGTTTGCGTGCTGGTCTCCGCCGTGCCAGCCCACTGCGGCCCCTCCCACCTCCTGACTCTGTCATGACGCCGGATCTAAGTAGGGAGGAGGAGCGAGTGAGGTAAAGGCTTCGTAAGTCTACTGCCACTTAAACTAATTTGCGCGCAAGTCCCCATATTACTACTGTGGAACCGACGTGGACATCGTCGGCAACGACAGTCGAGCTGTCAGTGCGAGGTGTAGTGACGAATTCCAGATTTTGTTGTTTCAGTGTATCTACATGTGCATTCGAAGTCACGACGGTCCCCATGTGGTAGTGGTGCCTGCGGCGGTGGTGGTGGTGGCGGCGGCGGCGGCTGCAGCGGCGGCAGCAGCAATAATAATGATGACTACCGTCACCATTATCGCTGAACAGAGAGCGACTTGCCTTCAGATGACATCACTTGACCCTTATCTAGAGCGTGGAACCCACAGCGGAGCTCATTGGATAAGGACTGGGCTGTTTGTGGGTCAGAGCAGTACGACGTTGCGGTAGGTGTGGGTCAAACACAAACCCGATCAGCTGCCTCACCCAGTCTTATTTCCAATCACAGTGATTTTTAGTTGTCACGGCAACGCGGTCGAAACGTGCAGAGTTCAATGCACACCACCCCACAATTCAACCGGCAGTCGATTCAAAAATGTCGGCTCAAAGTTTTCCAACCAGCATGATAAGACCAACACGCGCGTGACAAGCGCGAATGCGGGCAAAATGGTCAGTCAACTGAAGCGTCTAATGTTATTTTTAGTCCTTCTGACTCGGTCTTGATACTGAGCATGTTGAGTAAAATGAAGCCTTCTCGCACATTTGAAGTGATCATCTACATGGCGTCGGTTGGCAGTATTTTCGTTCCCAATTAGTCGTTTAAGAGTATACGCTGAAGGAACGGATGGAAAAATTGACGAGGAAGTTAGTAAACGGCCTGAAATGGACGATATAGACACTGATTCGACAGTTCGCCATTCACTACTTGTTGCGATAGGAGAACTGAGACATGCCATTGGACAGCAGGGTTACGTCATCTGGGTAATCATTGGTTGTCATCGTTAAGTCGTGCTGCGTCTTTCTACGCGCCAAAGCCGCCGTGTTTTCGTTTGACGGGCGGCGTGCTTCCAAGCCCCTCCTCCTTTTGCTGTTAACAGATTAAATTCAATTTAACTTTTTACCCGTATGTTTGGTAGAAAATCCCGACGAACATTTAGAAGACGTTTGGGGGGGGTGCATATTGAAGAAATAGAAAAGTAGATGGGAATGATCGCAAGCGTCCCAAGCCGGATAATATACAGTAGTCCAAAGGTCAAAGGGTCTGAAAGCGTGTGCTATGCCCGGTATCAGCAAACCGTGGCCCTCGCAGCCTGGTATGCGATGGCAGTCCTCTGACGCATGGTTCCCTGCCGGTAGATGCGCTTGCACTCCCGCTGGGTATACAGGTGGTGGGCATGGCTGCCCAGTCATACTCACCCTTCTGACCCCTGTTGGAGTGTTTTTGATGTTATTGTTGTTGGTGCAAGGTAGGCAGGTATATTTTGTGGACCAAGGGGTGTGGTGGCGCGCCTAGGCGCGGCTCCGGCGGGGCCAACCAATTGCGTCCTTCTCCGCCTCCGGTCTTCTTGACTCTGTCTTGACACCGGGTCCAGGTGGGGAGTGGGGAAGAGGGAGTTGGCGGCAGATGCTGTGCAAGTTCGCTATCACTACAAACTGGATCACGCGCAAGTTACCGTGCCTGCTGCACCTTGGTGTGTAGCACACTGTGGACATCGTCGGAATCGACGGTCGAACTGTCGTGCTATCTCATGAAATTTTAACCAACATTCTGAAATTCTTTTTAGATTTGAAAAGATTACTCAAGTAGAGGCGTCAAGTTAATTATCATGTCGCATAATACCAAGTTGTTCCAGTCATGTTAGGATGTCGGCTTTCGGAAGAGCTCCTTACCGAGCGGCTGCGTAAACTACATTCCGTAAAAATGACTACTTAAGTAGTCTGAAGTTTTCCAATCTATTTTCAATTCCCTATAAATTCAGATATATTTTATGAAAAGCATAAACGAAAATATTATTTGACCTAGTCATTTGGTAGGAAATTATGTCTTCTTCGAATTTTATATTTGAAGAAAGAGTATCTTTTGGTATTAAAAAGCGTCTCACCGTGAGATTTTTCAAGACCGTGAAATGTCCAGTCGTATAGCATCGCACCAACAAATTTACTAATGCCGCCTATAAAGTGGACAACACGGTCCACATTCACCGAAAATTTTATGGACCTTATATGTCTTTTTCAGAAAAAGATATAGAAATTTATGATTTCTCTTAAACCAAAAGTGTACAGCTTGTAGTTTGAAGGCAGATGGGGACCGAAATCATTCGGGAATTGGGAAGGTTTTTCCGGCCGAAAAACATTCGTTTTCTGAGTATAAAATTTAAAGGAGACTTAATTTTCTAACAAACGGGCAAATGAAAGATTCTTTTTGTGAATGCATTCTATAAAATATATCTGAAGCAAAAACACGTGCTTTACCGATTTTATTCTGCCGTAACACGCGGCACCTCTGTTGAAAGTGAAAAAAGTTCCTCCATCGAATAAGTTACTCCAAGTTCACACGTTACTCTATGAGGATATATAAATGGAATCACCCATGCTACTTAAGCATTCATTTTGACGGAATATAGTTTATGTAAACGGTGGATAAGAAGCTCACTCGAAAGCCGGCATCCTGTTCGGACTGTGATTTGCTTAACATTACGCGATAAAACGTGGCACCCCTACTTTAGTAATCTTTTCGAACTGAAAACACATTACGTAATTTCAGCCAACACTTCATTCTGATTCGTCGCTTCGCTGTTCTCTAAACTGTGATCCTCAGGAAAGCAACATATATTATCTACCTCATTCCAGGTCATGCGGACACTGGGCGAGGGACGTAGGAACGAGAGAAATTTTAGAGGTCTAGGGAATGCCGAATAAGGCAGCTGTTGCAATAGCTTATCCCAGATAACTGGTACATCAAAAGAAACATGTTTGTGTGACTTACATAGATTCTGGTCTGGATTGTGTGAATAAGGAGGGCGTAGGAGGTGGGGAGAAGTTTTTCACGAATCCAAGTTCCAAACTCATATATGTGAAAACCAAATTCAACCAGCCGTAGAAGGAGGAAAGTTGGCTGAACTTCCAGTTCATCAATGAACATGGCAATCTTATTATTGATATTTCTCAACTCTATCTCATAGGGGCTGTACCGCAGATGCTGAATGAACTCATCAAACTGGACATGCAGGTTTTCCATCAGTGCCAGCGCCTCCTCGCAGGGCCTGAAGTTCCGCGGAACCAAATTCTCCAATGCGTCCAAAAGTTTGTCAAACAGTTGTTTCAATGTGTCATGCACTTTCTTCAGAACCTTCCTCGCCTCTGGCGTGATCTTAAGGGATCGCTCGTGCGCATTTTCACCGAGTTCATTATACACCCTGGTGTACCTCGACTGCCGTCCGCGGGATCCGCCGTACATACTCTTGCCGGTAGATTGACCCTGCTTCATCTCCTCCGCCTCCTCTGCCTCGTCGATCTTCAAAAAGGTCTTGCTTGCACTCCTATCCTGCCTGCGATGCGGCACCACACTTCGCCGCGTCTGCGACACTGCCTGGAAGTTGCTTTCGTCGATGCCACCGCGTCCATAACCCTCCGACTGCGTTTGAACATTCTTATTGGTCCCTCCATCTGTCCTGTTCTCTGCGTGCATGTTGTCCTCAGGGTATGTGGGTGTGGACATGGAGCGTAGAGCGAAGGAGGAGGCACGGGTGGCGCTCTGACCACCGCCAGCTGCATCATCGTCAGCCCCGGGGTCGAGGCCCCCCTCGGGGGACTGGTAGCCGATGCTGAAGGGTGCTGACTGCTGGGCAGTGTTGGTGACCTCGGATTGGTAGACTGGGACAGGAGCAGGCGGACCGCCAATTGTGACGCTCAGGGAGATTGTTGTCGGTCGGCTGGGATCACTACTGCTCTTCACTGGGCACATGATCTGTGTCCTAACTTTGACACTGCTCTCTGATTCATCATGCGCCCTCTCCGCGTCCTCCTCCTCCTCCGTTTCTGCATTGTTGCCGCTGACATCGAGCACTACGGGGCAGAGTATGTTGCGAAGGTAGGGTGAGGTCATCTTGACCGGTGCACAAGTATGCCCCACCAACCGACCAGCGCTTGCTGCAACCTACCAATGAGGTGGGACACAATTTGGCTGGAATCGATTGTTTACTTTCAAACTGGTCGGCGCGCGACCCTCACCTTGGCAGGGCGGAACGACCAATGAAAAGACGACTACATCACCAACAGAGGTATCACGGGGCTTTATATTGATGTAGTCAAATAACTTAACTGAAACACTTCATTTCTGCCAACATAATGACACTGAAGTGCGTGACCGATCTCATGAAATGTTGGCTGAGATTTTGAAATGCGTTTTCGACTAGGAAGGATTACTAAGGGGCGGATGTAATACTGATTATCTTGGGGCATAATCCTATAATATTTCGGACTCGGCAGAATGTCAGCTTTTGAATACACTGCTTTCCAAACTCCTGTAGAAACCGTACTCGGCAAAAAATGACTACTTAAGTAGCATGCATTTTTCCCATTGATTTCCAATGGTCTCGCAGATTCAAATATATTTTATAGAAACTCCGAACAAAAATATGCTTTCTTTCAGTCATTTGATAGGGAATCACGTCACTTTTATATTTTATACTCGAAGAAGGAGTATAATTAGGTTTTAGATAAATTTTTCTAATACCCGAATAATTTGGAACCTAATCAACCGTCGCATTAGCGCCTAGTGCTTTCATTCTGCAAGGTGCATGAGCGTAAAGAAAATCACATATTCTTCTATGCCTTTAAAAAGAAACCATATAGAGTCCATAAAATTTTGTAATGGATGCGGATCATGTTGAGCATTTCACGAGGAGCAGTGGTAAACAGAGAGATGCAATGCTGTATGAATGGACATTGCACGGTCTTAAAAATCTCATAGTTAGAAACTTTTTAAAGCCTAATTCTACGCCTTTTTCGAGTATAAACAATAAAGATGACGTGATTCGCTATCAAACGGCTACAAGAAAGCATATTTTTGTTCGCGCATTCTATAAAATATATTTGAATCTGCGAGACCATCGAAAATCAGTGTGAAAAATGCATGCTACTTCAGCAGTAATTTTCTACCGAGTACGGTTTCTACAGGAGATTGAAAGACAGTGCATTCGAAAGCTAACATCCTACCCAGTCCGAAATATTATAGGATTATGTCGCAAGATAATCAGTATTACAACCGCGTTTAAGCAGTTCTTCCTAATCGAAAACGCGTTTCAGAATCTTGGCCAATATTTCATGAGATCGGTCACGCACTGTACATCCAGGTTGCTGCGGCGTACCTGTGTGTACAACCACAAAATCGAAAAAGCAAACCTTGTGATTTGTGGGTGTGTTCATTTTATTGCTGCTTAAGATAGCGGAGGCTGTTGCATCACTTGGACTATATTTATCTGTCGAATAGAATGGAGCAGAAAAGACCAGAATAGGCTAGCCGGAGTGGAGGTGTAGTGTCCCTGTGCCTCCAAAATGGTCCATGCGGTAGATGCGCTGTACCAATGCGGGGTCGCATTGGATTCTGGCAGTCTTTATCGGGAATCCGCACCCATAACAAATGCCAACACTCGGGGCGTGGTGGAAGGCCCAGTTTCCGGCTCACGTCACGCAAACTGGTCTCCCTGCCGCCTCCCTCCCCCGTTTTTGTTGTTGGCGAAAAAATCCTGGTCAAGTGTTTGTTGTGGACCAGAGGGGGTGGTGGTGCACCTAGGTGCAGGTCCGGCTGTGCCAGTCACCTGCCCCCTCTCCCGTCTCCAGTCTTCTTGGCCATGTCTTGGAATCGGACACAGTTAGAGGAGAGAGTGTGATAGATGCTGTGCATGCCTACGATCACGTGTATGTTCGCACCGGCAACAGGCTGGTTTTCGCTCGCTCACAGATTTTCGACTGTCCAATCATCTTCAAGACCGAATCAGACGTGCTCTTGTTCAATACTCTGCGACGCATACGTCACTCCCCCAGCGTCGGATGTGCCCTCGTCCGGTTGCCACAGTTATGCTGTGCGGAATACACTATTCTCGCAGCTGGCGTCCAAACCCTTATCTTTCTGTTCGGGGTCGAGCCTGAAGGTCTAGTGGCTAGCGTCTCACCATGGCTTAAGCTGCTGCGTCAGAGGAGCGGTGCGGACATACAAGATGATGATAGAATCCGTGAGAGACCAGATAGTTGTGGCTTTTATGAGCCGCGCCATTGAAAACATGGACGTGTAACGCCCGAACAGGGTTGTTTTAATGTCGTAACAATTTTCGGCGCGTGGCGATGAACAGGTTTGTTTGAATGCTGTAATACTTTTCGGCGCGCGGACCCAGGATGGAGATGGCGTAGCTGCGTGCTGGTGAAGATCGCCGGTGTCCCTTCCTCTCACTTCCGCCGACCCCTTTTCCCGCATCGTACCGTGACGCTCCTACCGTTCTCCTTCTCTCTACGTCGGCACCTCCCTCGGCCCTTCTCTGCGGTTGCCCAGAGAGCTGCCTTCCCCACCGGTTAATTAGCTGGCATGTCGGCATCGCCTCTCCACCCAGACAGGTTATTCCAGAGTTGAAACTATTCCCGCTTGTACTATTAGCAATTATTATACACATTTCCCGTTCCTATCTCTTTATATTATACTATATCCCTTACTCGATGTAACTTCTTATTCTGCGTGTGAATGAGTATCAAGAGATGCTAACAGTTCCGTTCAGATCTATCTCCGCCAGGATCTCCTCTCAGCGTTTCCTTACTTTGGTGTGTGCTACCCTTGACTTCCTCGGCCGCTACAGACGCGTAATATAGGACCGTTAGTGGAATGATAAAATAGGGTAAGCGTATATTGGTAGGGCAGAGCATGAATAAGGAATTAGTACATAACTATCAGATTGTACGAGACCCGATTAGTATGGACTAGAGCGCACTGGTAGGATAACAAAGTAACTGCATCCTTCTCATACATGTTCGTGCATTTTGGTAGTATTTACCATATTTTGCATCTAGTGGATGTGCTATCCCACGAGATGTTAGCTGGAAAAAATATTACTTAAGTAGAGTTGTAATACTCATTATCGTACAGCATAATTCCAAGGTTTTGCAGTCAAGTCTGCTCTACAGAGAACGAAAGCTTGCGTGGTATGCATTTTTCTCATTGATTTTCGATGCCCTTGTAAATCCAAACACATTCTGTTCTTTCACTCATTTGGAAGTATACCCAGTATCAACGTTCCCTTACTGACAAATTACAATCACCCCCCGGGGATTTTAGAGTTGCATATTCAATAGCGTCAGTACTAGTTATGTGCACCCAACATTATCCAAAAAAGACTGTAAGTTGCGAGTGCAGAAGACGCGACTGCCAATTCCAGCCTATGGATATCAGGATAAGACAGGAGTTATGGAAGAGTTAATAATCAAATGGCAAACGACCTGACACATACCAACACATACCAAGCGCGTCGCGTTGTGCCGAGTTCCTCCCATTCATTTAAACTGACAGTAAGTTTAACAATGATGAACAGATAGGTAAGGGCAAAATAGTCTGACGCAGATGCATTTCGACCGTTTTCATTGGCCACTTCCATTTGTTATTCCGCAGAGTGGACGCGGCACCGGTGTCCTGTGGGTGAGTAAGTTTATAGTGGGACGGACTTTCGCAGCATCTACCTCACTCTCTCACCCCCCACCAACCACGCTGTGGTCAAAAAACAGTCCCAAGACGACGGGGGTGCAGTGACTGGCAAGGTTAAACGGCCAGTCTACACGTGCCGCACGCGACCTGGTTCCCACGGCAATTATCGAGTCTTTACAAGGACGGCTCGATCTCGGGCGTGTGAGAGTGCCATAAACCCCGCACCAAGCAAGGAGCCTGACTTTCGCCCCTGGAAAGGACGGAGTTATCTAATCTGTTGCAGCACTATAAATCACGATTTTTAGTGCGTCGTGCCGGATTCATCCGCGTCAAATATGTTAGAGTAAGAAAGGCGCTAATGTGCTGTCGGTCTCACGAGTCCACTGCCCGGGTCTGTCAATTAGGATTTTCCTCGGTGGCTTGAAGACTTACGTCTGGACGTGCCATCGTACCCCATAAGTACGGAAGTAGTTGCAGACTTGTTGAGGATCTGCGCAGCCCGACTGACGGGTGGCGTGACCCAGTCTGATGACCATTTCGGTCGAGCACCTCTGTAGTGTAACACCTTATCTGAGATTATTTGAATTTATAAGGGCATTGAATACCGATATGAAAAAAAATCACAATACTTAAGTAGTTCTTTTCGCTGAGTGTGGTTTTTGCAGGTGGCCTGAAAGGGGGTCGTTGAAAAAAAGGGTATCCCGGAGTGACTGAAATAGCTCGGGATTATACTGCATGATAATCAGTGCAAAAAACCCACCTGATTAATTCCCTCTAATCAAGGACACATTTCAGAATTTTGATCGACATTTCATGAGGTAGGACAACTACTGCATAGCAAATGGGTTCGTGTGTCCGCTACGCAAAAGATGTAGCGATAATTATGGCTGAGGCAGTGGTGGTAGTAGTAGTAGTAGTAGTAGTAGTAGTAGTAGTAGTAGTAGTAGTAGTAGTAGTAGTAGTAGTAGTAGTAGTAGTAGTAGTAGTAGTAGTAGTAGTAGTAGTAGTAGTAGTAGTAGTAGTTATGGTGTTCAGGTTCTATATCGAAATCTCATGCTTACTGGGCCATCTAATTAACCATGGTGCAGTCTTTCTACGCTCCAATTTCGTTCTGATATCCTTGTCCTTCCGATCTTGGATTTCGGATCACTTGATTGTCGTGGGCAGCGCTGGTCTTGTGCATGTAATAAACCTACTCGGGGTGTCGGTTCTCGCATGAAATATCGTATTGAACAGACACACCGAATTAACGAAATAAGTAGAAACAAAATCACAATATATTTCATATGGAGAGTATCTGGTGCGCTCTCGGCACGAGGCCATGTCGTTCGCATATCCAGCGGTGGAGAGGAAAACGGAAGTAGCTTTGATGATTCTACGAAGACTACAAGGCATGAACTCGATACATAAAGTTAAAAGGA